ACGACAAAACTGGCGGCGGCAAGAACGGCAAGAAAGGAGGAAAGAAACGACAAGGAGATCAGTGCACGCTATGTGGCTCGAGATGGCACAATTCTGACACTTGCCCTCTCGAGGATGATCAGAAAGAGGACAACACGTATCAGACTGACGAGCAGTATGACGAAGAATACTACGGACAAGGAAAAGGCTATCGCAAAGGAAATCGCAAAGGTAAAAGACGTGGCAACGGCAAAGGATACGATCGAGATCGGCACAGAGGCTATCAAGACAATCGAGGATCTCACGACCATCATCGACGCGATGTTCCACGTTTCGGCAGAAGCGACTTCCAGCAGCGACAGCAGAAAGGCAAAGGACGTGGCAAGAAAGGATATCGATCAAAAGGAAAAGGCTACGACCAACGACGACAGTTCTATCAAGACACTGATCGCGAAGACGACGCATATGGAAGCTACACGACCTTGCCGGCCATCCATGAACAAGAAGAACCAGACGAACAGGCAGCAATACCGAATGAGACATCCACGTACGACAAGAACATCATGACACGGACCCCTCTATCTTCAGGAGCGTGCCAGTTCATACCTACCTCGACGGCGGCAGAGAGAACACCGACACGGAAAGGATCAGCATACGACGATATATTCGGCACCGGAGAGAGAACCACAGTTGGACAGGGACAACCACGGCATCCACCTGGGTTAGGCCCAGCAGCTACGGCGACTGGCGCAACGAGCTCAAGCTTTTCGGCATCATCAAGCGCAGTTTCGGTTTCTGCGTCTACTCATACCTGTTACAGATGTTTCTCAGCGGCGATTGCGAAGTGCGGCACGTGTAACCGTTCGTTTTGTATATGTCACGGATTCAAAGGACACTTGATGGTGATGTGCTCTTCTTGTCTGGATATCTCAGCCGCCCGGCAGCAACAACAGCACCAATCACAGCAAGACGCACAGTCACCAGGGACCACTTCTCAGCAGCAGACCACACCGAGCTCTGATGACACGTCATCAAGTTGGATGTTGATACCTAGACCGGACGAATCGCAGATTCAGGACGAACCAGAGGAGTTTGCAGCGTTGCCAGCTTCTGGCAACCCGTTCAAGAACTTGGCGGTCATCAACGGAGTCAACGTCATCGGCCTCATCGTAGACCCCGGAGCAGCTCGCGGTCTTATCGGGAGTGCTACTCTTCGAGAGATCTTCGACAAGCTACTACGACCTCGCGGCCTGATGAAACACGTGATGTGGTATCGTTCAAAGAACAAGTTCACGGGCATCTCATCTCAGCCCCAGCACAGCATCGGCATATGTGTATTTCCTATTGGTCTGGTTGGAATGAAGCATGCTTACTTTTCTTGCGATGTCATCACAGGTCAGTCAGCGAACTGTCCTGGACTTATTCCACTACAGACTCTGCTACGACTCGGCAGCATCATATCGTGCGGACACTTCCAGAATCAAGACGGACTTCTGGGACTGAGACTCGGCAATGGCGAGATGTGCTCACAGAGGATTCTCCTGACGGACTCATCGCACTATTTGCTTCCGATCGACAACTTCGACAAAGAAAAGAACGACGTGTGGAACAAAACAGTGCTTCAGCATCAGCAGGAAGTGGACGACGGAGCACATCAGCAAGGACAGCATCATCACGGAGTCACTCTTATATCCATGATCGACGGCAACGACCGAGCACCACATGAGGACCACGGGACTCATTTTCATTGAGTCCTGGGCACGACGCTAAACTGTTCACTCCAGATACTCTTACCTCATTCTCATCTACAACACGGAAATACTATCGAGATTGGCAAGCTCTTTCTTCAAAGGAATCTTTCTCACTGTGGAACGGCGAACCACTCTTTCCTTCACACCTACTTCCAGAGGAGTTGGCAGTTGCAAGGACCGAATTCAATTCGATTCCAGAAATGTTCTACGCGACCTACACTTGGCTACCGGTCATCACGCCCGAGAACTACGACGCTTTCGAGGCAGCAATGGCCAAAGGACCTTATTGCGGATATCCGATTCTATGGAGTTGGTGTTCAGGTTCATCCCATCTATCTCTCTGTATGGCATCATTACCTTTCTTATGTGCAGTACTTTTCCCAGTTGACCTACGCTACGGATGGGACCTCAAACATCGACCTCATCAACTCAAGTTACAGAGAGCAGACAAGACATTCAAACCAAGAGTTACGACTATGGAACCAAGATGCAAGTATTGGAGTCACATGGGCACTGGACGCGACATCAAGGACACCATGGAGTTACGAGAATCAGAAATGCCCATGTTGAAGTTCATGACCTCACACGCTGTCAAGATCAAGCAGGACCTCAGAGACAATCTTGTGGAGAATCCAAGATCTTCTAGTATTTGGACGAAGTCTCCCTTGGCAGCCCTCCTTGATCATCCAGCTTATTCGAATCAACGTTACAATACTTGTATGTGTGCTTTCTCCAGTGAAAAGGACGGCCGAAGAAACAAGAAGGACGCTACGTTGATTTCGACTTTCTGTCTCAGTCATTCTGCGAAGCGCTGCAGCTGCAAAAAGGAGCACATACATCTTCAAGGTTATGATAAAGAGACGCATCGCAAGCGGACAGCAGCAGCAGCAATGTTTTCAAAGAAGTTCTGTACGGCACTCTGCAAGGATATCTTGGCCCTGGAGTCCAAAGAACCAGGAATCTCTATCAACAAGTCCTCAAGAGCTTTCCCGGCAGCAGCAGATGACGAGGCAGAAGATGAAGCACCATTAGCTCAGCTACCAGCACCAGCAGGACCCAAGTCCTTGGACGACCTCATGGAAGAATTCAAGGACATCGACACCAAGAGCATCAAGATCACGCTCGACACCTTCACGCCCACGGAAGCACAATGGATCAAGGCAGCGATTCTTTCCATCACCGATTACACTATGAGTTTCGGCGTTCCTGGGACACCTACCGGACGGATTTTGATGTTGCCTGGTACTGGTAGACCACAACAGGAAGGTGCACGAGTTCTATGTCATGCTCTCAGCCAAGTTTACACGACCAGGACTGTGACATCTCAATGCCATATGTCGGAAGCACACAAGTTTGACGAGACTGAGTTTAGCAATCCTGATGACTACAAAGATCGCATCAGATTTCTTGGCAACAAGGACGGCCACTACCACATGAGCGTAGTCAAGGATTGGAGAAACGCACCTGAAGACGACATAGACACCACGACGACGATCTACATCATCACTCTCCTGGGCGTTCACCTTTCGGACATTATACTCGACGGTCCTCCCGGCCGACGAGATCAAGCTCGACGCCTCAGAGGAAAGCAACCACGACCTACACATGGACCATATGCTATTCCACCAGAGAGGCCTGGACCACTGGCGGCTTCTACTGACGACGCCATCGAGAAGATCGAGATCAATGGCCGTGTCTTATCACGGACGAAGCCCAACATGGAACTTCGAGAGCTACCCAAGAAGTTGACTCATGCCAACGAGAAAGATCGTGCCGGACTACTGCGTCTACTTCATGAACGCTTCTGGCACAACTCTCCATTGGACATGATGAAGTTGCTGCAGGCCATGCTCTTACCCCAGGCTATCGTTCTACAGGGCATGGAGATTTGCAAGGCTTGTGAAGTTTGTCAGCAATGGGCTAAACGACACATACGACCTCAGATTAAATCGTTTCTGGCTACAGTGTTCAACGAGATGGTACAGCACGATTTGTTCTTTCTCTGGGATGAAACGTTCATGATTCTCATTGATGAAGCTACTAAGTGGAAGACTGGAGACCACCTCATCAACAAGACAGGTCCAGTATTGGTGAAGGCGCTCAATTACCTTTGGATACGCATTTGGGGCGCGATGCAGAACCTTCTCACTGATCAGGAAGGAGGTCTCATGGGACACGAAGCCACCAAGCTATGTGATCGACTCGAGATCAACAGACTGGCTATTGGCAAAGGAGGAGCTACCACCAAAGGACTTGTCGAAAGGCATCTAGCTCTTCTTAAGCTTTCTATGCTCAAGCTCAAGCAGTCAAGTCAAGCAGAAGGATTGGATCTCAGTTACTCCGACATCTGCTACGAGTGCTGTGCCGGCCACAACTGTACTCTCAACTATGGCGGCAGCACTCCACAGGTTGGCCTTGACTGGACAATTACCGAGGACGATTGCGATCGACAGCGAGACCATCACATCCATGACGGGCGCCCTTGAGAAGCGTCCTGACTACATGGAGTCTATGTCACGCGCAAGACTACTGGCTCGACAGGCTATCGTACAGTCAGTTATTCAAGATCGACTAGCTCAGGCATCCAAGATAACTCAGCACCAGCACGAGCCGGAGCTACTCGTTCCGGGAACGATATGTGATATTTGGCGAGAACCAGCACGGAAAGACGAATGCGGATGGCGAGGACCAGCGGAAGTCATCAGCCTGGAGCGACGCGCAGGATCGGCAATAGTCAAGCACCAGGGCCAGCCGCTTATCATTCCTCTACGACATCTTCGGCGACATGTTCTTACTGAGCACTACATCATGGAGCTCAACAAGAAAAATGACACGAGCAGCTTATACATACACTACGACCTGGTCAACCCTACGATGGTCAAGGCAGCGGCTACCTTTCTGACACCATATCAGATATATGCCGATGGAGTTTTGGTTCCTTCGGAGACGCTGTACGACCTGATGGATTTAGTTGATGGATCTACGCCCACTAAGATATATTGGTTTGGCTTGGTATGGCAGCAAGAGCAGTATCGATATGTTCCCAGTGAAGAAGCTTGCGATTCATGCAAGCCTTTGGCCCTGGGCATCAAGATATTCAGCGATACGTTCAAGCCTGTGCATGGTATCTTGTACGGCTCACAAGTACGTCGACTTCCTCAGATTGAATATGCACAGTGGGCTCTACTGCTACGTTGGCGACGAGAGGACCGAGCTGACTACAGTATTCGTGTACGACGTCCAGACATAGCTCTTCGCTATACAGCCGAGCAATCTACCAACTACAGCACAATGATGCTCTACAGCTATGACCATTGCGAGGATCTGGACAAGCATTTCGATCCACCAGAGCTGGACTGGAGTGACATCAGCATGATTGACTGGCCTGACGACCTCTCTGACATTGTTATTCCGGATCAGCAGCCACCGCGGGATCCACCAGCACCGCCAGCTCGGGCACCACCAGTTCCACCTTTTCGGTCAAATGCTATACCTCCACAAGAGCCTGGACGACCACCAGATCAGCCATCGCATGGTCAACCCTCGACGGCACCAGCTACGGCAGGCACACCGCAGCTCAACGTCCCAGGCGACCAGACTATCGACAGCGACGACGACATGGAGGAGATACCAGCTCATGGACATGATCACGACCTACCTCCAGCACCTGGACCAGCACCTCGACGTATCTCTCGAGAGGCACCTATGGGTCCACCTTCGTTGCAACCACAGCACCGAGACACACAAGGATCAGAGGATTCACTGCAGACTCCAGCTACTCCTGACGAGTTACCCTACATTCCTCTCGACTTGGACAAGCCCAAGGCAAGCACAGCGGAGAAGCAGAAAGCAGTTGATCCTCCAGACGCGACACAGTCACCACCTCAGAAGCGAGGAAGATCATCATCGCCATATCCATGGCCCTCTCCTTGGCAGCCTGAGTCACCACCACGACCACCGACGACCTCTACGGGGAGATATCAACCAGGAGCTTCTTCATCGTCAACGGACTTGCCAGCGGCTACGCCGGGTACGTCCTCGACACAGCCAGCTCCAGCGGATTCGACAGAACCACCTGTACTTCCCATTCGTAAAGATGAAGTACCAGCAGGAGAGCAACCCTCGACTTCTACTGACAGAACTTTGGAATACAGCGACGACCCAGATGGAGATACCAGAGCCTTATACCAGGAGACGATTGACCACCTTGACATCCCCAAGATTGTCAATCTATGCGAACGACTACCCGACGGAACTTACAAGCAAAGTATGGAAGCAATTTATGACGAGATGATCAGCAACCTTTCAGATGATTTTGATTTTGTATCTCCGACACTTTACTCCGACTCGGACCGATATCTATACTTCCATTACGATTTGCATGAATCAATGGTTTTTCGAGTTGATGATTCGACGGCGAACCTCACAGATGACGAGATGAGACGTTTTGCGAAGTTGGTTATTGCAGGAGATCATAAGGAGTTGAAGGCTTTTGTTACTCATGATATTTTCGAACCTGTACTTCGAGACCACCTACCCGATAAGGCGAACATAGTTGATTGTACATGGGTGAGGAAATGGAAGGTCAAACACGTTGAAGTCAAATCACGACTATGCGCTCGAGGCTGTTTCGACCGACAGAAGAACTTCATTGAGAAGCACAGCTCGACAGCGACAAGATTGTCGCAGCGTTTGGTTTTGAGTTTAGGATGTTGTGAAGGTATTCTACATGTGAATGACGAGAATGACGGCGACGTCGACACCGAGAGCCTGGATATTTCAACGGCCTTTCTACAAGGACTTGGATACGACAACCTACGCGAGAAAGCAAGGAATCTCGGCTATGAGTATCGCGAAGACCGGACAGTCTACATCCTTCCTCCGGAGAATGTGTGGAGTCACTTTCGACGCATGCCGGAGGCATCTTCCAGTTGGAAAGTTGCAGATAAGGATCGACACAGATATGCCCTCAAATGCTTGAGAGCAATGTATGGTTTCACAGACGCACCATTGATGTTTCAGTTGGCCTTGTTGGAGTTTCTTAAAGATAAGACAGGAGCTAAATCATCGGTTTTCGACGACAACTATCTTTACTGGGGCATCGATTACAAGGGCAACAAGGTGATCGTTTTAGTCATGACTGTTCATGTGGACGACTTACAGATTACTGGCAGCAGATTCTATCGCGATTGGATACACAAAAAGTTGGAATCCAGATTCGGCAAGCTCAAGAGGCAGACGATGCCATATACACATGCTGGCCTACAGCTCGAACGAATTGTACCGACGTGTATACGCATTCATCAAGATCAGTTTACATCATGTCTTTCGCCATGTGTTATACCAAAAGAACGAGTTGATGTACCAGATGCACCCTGCACGGCAGCAGAACACAAGACGTTCAGATCTCTTACTTGTGGAGCACTCTGGGCCTGCCAGACACGACTGGAGGAACTATTCAACGTTGTTTCTCTACAGACCAAGCTACAGAGTCCGACCATCAAGGACCTCCTGGCGATCAACGCAGCGATCAAGAGACTCAAGAAAAATCCCGAGAAGTTTGGCATCTACTACAGGAAGCTCAAGGCACCACTACGGATCTCTTGTATTACGGACGCCTCTTCAGCCAACAAGAACAGCAATTTCGCCACAGAAGGAGTCACGATAGGTCTTCAAGAAGACCGACTACATTTTCCTCTATGTGATCGACAAGATTATCTGCAGGACAATCTGATCAATCGGCTCAGTGGCAAGTTACACGCACTAGTGGTCACTTCGACCAAGTCTAAGAGAGTTTCACACAGCACGTCCCACGCGGAAACGTTGGCAGCAGCACGAGGAGTTCCCATGGCACAGATTATCGGCATGAGGCTCACAGAACCGGAGATTAACATTTTATGCGGACCTCAGAAGCCACTACAGCTTCAAGAACGACTCGACCGAGGGCAGTTGAGTTTACCAGTGGACGCTTTCATTGATTGTATGGACTTGTGGGAGTTATGTTGCGGACTTCGAGGAACACCACAGGACAAGTCACAGCGTTTGGGTATTCTGTCGCTTCGGGAAGAGCGACGAACCCTGAGACTACGACGACTTTATCATGTACGTACCAAGTGGATGGTTTCAGATATGTTGACAAAGTTTGTGGGAGCAGACTCCAAGTCACTTCTGGAGCTGATCACCACCGGTTGTTGGACGATCGCAGGCACACTGCGAGTCAGGCAAGGATTTGGACTAGACAGTACCAAGTCCGACACGACGAGAACTTAATATTTCCAGTTCAGGATTTACATCAGAATCTGGAGTATGATCTGGAGTTTGGTTAGATGTGAGATGTTATATGGGCAGCTTCACATGTATATCATTATTCGACTTCAATTGTGGAGCTAGTATTTTATGTTCACCTTTATCGGCTACCACTTCGTGATGGATTATCATCAGATGTATTTCAATGGATTTATATTTGGTGGCCGTGGTGGATATGATAAGCCTGCTATGGCTTACTTAGGACTGCTGTCCTACTCTTCTCCTCTCTCTCACTCCTTCCTAGGGCCGCTGCCGGACTCCAGTAAAATCGACTGGGTTTTAATTTTTATAAGATCCAACATGTCCTAAAGAAAATAGGACCAGAGTTGAGATTATTATGTCTAGGACCTGTTAGGCATGTTGTCTCATACGCTAGAAGCAGTACCGTACTGTAACGTACTGGCTCAAGGCTCAAGTCAAAGCAGTAAAAGATTGTCATCTTTATTGCCATTAGTTCATATAGCTTTCGCTTAAAGAACTTAATATTTCCAGTTCAGGATTTACATCAGAATCTGGAGTGGCGGAGGGGGGGGGTGCGGTGCCGAAATAAAGTGGTCGGGGCGGAGGGGGCGCCGGGCGGGCGCTGGAGAGCCGCGGGGGGGCGCTGAGACGGGCGCGGGGGGGGGCCTGAAGCTGGGGGGGGTGCTGGGGGGGCTGCGGCGCCGAAATAAAGCGGTCGGGGCGGAGGGGGCGCGGGCTGGGGCTGAGCGCGGGGCGAGCGCTGAGACGGCCTGGGGAGGGGGAGGAGGGGGGGGGGGGGGCGCGGTGCGAAATAAAGTGGCTTCGGGGCGGAGGGGGCGCTGGGCGTGCGCTGGAGCGCGCGGTGGGCGCTGAGACGGCGCGGGGGAGGAGCGGAGCGGGGGGGAGTGTGCGGTGCCGACAACGCCGAATAAAGAGGTCGGGGCGGAGGGGGCGCCGGGCGGGCGCTGGAGCCGCGCGGGGGCGGCTGCGCGGCGCGGGGGAGGGGGCGGGCGGGGAGGGGGGTGCGAGTGCCCGTGCCGAATAAAGTGGTCGGGGCGGAGGGGGCACTGGGTGGGCGCTGGATCTGCCGGGGGGGAGCTGGACGGCGCGGGGGAGGCGGGCGGAGCGTGGAGGGGGGGCGCGGTGCCGTAATGAGTGTCGGGGCGTAGTGGGCGCTGAGCGGGCGTGGAGCCGCGGGGTGCGCTGAGCCGGCGCGGGGAGGGGGCGGAGGGGGAGGGGGGGGCGGTGCCGAAATAAGTGGTCGGGGGGAGGGGGCGCTGGCGGGCTGGAGCCGCGGGGGGGCGCTGAGACGGCCGCGGAGGGGGGGGGGCGAGCGGGGGGGGTGGGTTGTATTGTTGCGGTGCCGAATAAGGGGTCGAGGCGGAGGTGGGCACCTGGGCTGCGCTGGAAGCCGAGGGAGGAAGCGCTGAGACGCGCGGGGGAGGGGGGCGGCGGTGGGAGGGGGTGCTGATGTTGATTATGGTGATGTGATGATGGTGTTGTGATGGTGATGATGGTGAGGGTGATCGGTATTGGTAGTGATATTGATGATGCTGATGATGATGCGGCTGTATGATGATGATGATGTGATGATGATGATGATGATGAAGGGGGGGGGGGGCGGTGCCAAAATAAAGTGGTCGGAGCTCTAGACACCCTGTGCAAGAGAATAAATCTCCGCTGAACAGCGCGCTGGCTCCCCCGAACGGCCTGTCCACGCTGCCGCCCCCCGTCTTCGCGTCGCTCCCTGCTAACATGCACGAGCGCAGATGCGACTCGAGCCCGACTGGAAGTTCGCGCTCGCCGTGCTCACCTCGTCGACAATAGGCCACTTCCAATGCGACATCCGCTGCGCGGCTCTCTCCTGCACGACCTTCTTCTCCATCGACTCTTCGCCCCCCCAGCCGCCCACCGGCGCCCCGCGGCCCCGGCGTTCGCCCCCGCGACGAGCGCGCGGCGCATCGCGCCCCCGGCAATGGCCGATGCGCTCGCGGCCCGCCAAGCGGCGACCTGGAAGTCATCGCCGCGCGCCCCCCACACCCCTTCTCCATCTCGAGCACTTCCTTCCGAATCTCGCCCGCGACGCAGCCCCCCGCCCCCGGGCCGCCGCGCGGCACCCGCAGGAGAGGCCCCCCGTCGGCATGTCTCACTCCTTTCTTCTGCCCCCTCGCGGGGGCCGAGGACTCCCGCGCCGGATCCCGACGGGCCACCTCCTCCACGATGCCAATGCCATCCGCTAGCCCGTTCTTCTACAGGCGCACGCTGGGCGCCGTTGCGGCATTTCCCGCCGTCGCGTACGGGGCGACCTCCTTCTCTGGCCTTCGAGACTGCGGCCGCCGCCTGCGCCCTCTGCGCGGCCGCGCCACCCTGCGCATGGCCGCAATCATCGCACCCCCATCCCAGCGGGAAGCGAAAGCATTGTACAATGCTTT